GTTTTTACAGACATGATAGCAAAAGTCACAGGGGTGTTTATTTTCAAGGGGTGCTTATTTTCACGATTTTACGGTACCATTATTAAGTGCAATTTTAGAGTTTAAAAACTTCATCTAATATAATCATAAATGAATGGTCGGTTTGTGTAACACTAATGCTATATGAAATGGGTGAATTTTTTTCTCATTCATTTTTTTTTCCTTTAAACTTTTTTTTTATAAAAAAGAAATACAAATAAAAAAAATAAATAAAATGACTCTAAACCTCCCTGCGGATTGTCTAAAAGAAATTTTTGAATATTTGGAAGATAAGGATTTACGCTCGTGCTTGTTAGTGAACCGTCTTTGGTGTGAAGTCTCTGTTCGAATTTTATGGAGAGTCATGCAAAATTTTAATACTGTTATAACTTGTCTTCCTAATAAATCAAAAGCAATTTTATACAATAATGGGATCAAATTTTCAACATCAACTTCAAGACGGCCATTGTTTAATTATATAGTTTTTATCAAAATGCTTTGGATTAATTCTATTGATCGTGCAATTACAAGATTTCTCAAGAATAATCAACCTTCTACTCTTCAAAACCTTGACAATCATAAAAGAATGATAACACGGGAAACATTTAAAATGCTGATGAATCAAACCACTTTGAAAATTTTACATTTTGATTTTGGCTCAACCAGCATTCCAAACATTCCATTTTCAGCATATCCAGGAGGAAAGGAATGTTTGAAATGTCTATCTGAATTTTTGTGTAGCTCAAATATTTATCCCGAATTCTTTTATCAAATATCTCGAATTTGTCATAATTTAAAATCACTAAAAATAATTTTTACACGTTTCATCTCAAATGGATTAGCAGAATTAATTTCTGTTCAACAAAATTTAAAGTACTTGAACTTGGATTATTGCAACAATTATTTAGATGAAGGTCAATTATTATCAAGAATTCCAAACACATTAACCAAGATACACATTGTTCAACCTCATCAAATGCAATTGTCATTTCTTTCTACTCTCTCAAATTTACAAGAACTTTCATTATCCTTTTTTAGAAAAAAAGGATTAAAAGATTTTAAAAATCTTCAATATGTTACCATGCCACAATTGCAAATTTTAATGTTTGAAGATAAATGTCCAAGTGATGAACGATTGATCAATTTCTTGAAAAACAATGGAAAGAATTTAAAAGTACTTGGTTTTGGCAAAAAAAAATGTTTTAATGATTCATTAAGTTTAGCTATAGCCAAATTTTGTCCAATTCTGAGGTCTTTACGCGTTAAATATAGAGATTCGGATTCATTAAAAGTAATTTTAAAAGGTTGTGAACAATTAGAGAGCATTGATATTTTGTATGACGATGAGAATTATGACTTTATATTAGAGAGTGAATTAGAGATGGTTGTAGAATTATCACCTAAAAAGTTACACGAGATAAAAATAGATATGGGATGTTACGTAGATCTGGAAACGACATTTCAGTGGGAATTAAAGTCTATCTTTAATTGCTGGTCGAAACGTGTACCATGTATTCCACTTTCTTTGACTATTACTTCGAATTTAGAAAGTGAAATTAAATTGCAGGAAAGTAATGTCAGATTAATTGAAAAATTTAAAAAGTTGGGTGTTATTAAAGAATTTAAAATAATCAATGATATGAACGATGTCGTTAATATATAGTATTTATTATATGTAAATATGCACCTGGTAGTGATTAATTATTAAATTTAAAAAATAAAGAACTTTTAATACTGTTTGAAATAAATTAATTATAATTTACTTGATTTTATTTTTATCAAATTTCTTGACAGAGGAAATATATGATTCGTCGGACTGATTTACATAGTATAGTAGTATATACGAAAAATGATAGTTTGCAAGCTCCGAAGTTTCTTGTAATTGCACACAGCACTCACCTGATGTTAATTTATTAATTGAATAATGTAATAAATACTTTGAAGAAAATAATAAACTTTTTATTTGCATATTAATGATTTTGTTAAATACAAATTTTTAACATAAAGATATATAATAGGAGAAATTGGAATTTATTAAATTTATTATTAAATAAATTTGCACTATTTTTTTTTAGATATTTTATAATTATCATAATTTTATTTTTTAAAAAAGAATAGGAAGAGAAGGCTACATTCTTACATTGATTAATCTACATCTTAAAACAAGAATCATATTACAATCGAATTCTTGTGATTCAAATACCCACCCATCTTCATACGGTAATTTTAATGCATCTCCCTTTGCAAAATTTGCATTAGGTGGCATTATATCTGACGGGACATCAGATCAATTCCCGTAAATTGAGATTTTGGATAATTTAATATCTCAAATATACAATCACCCGTACTGCAGCTAATTTTTTAAAGATTTGGTAAGTAAATATAAACAAGTTTGAAACCATTTTATGCAAGATCAAAACTTACGCAACATCAAGCATTTTTCCACCAGATGTAAGATTGCCATGTACTGGTGCAGCAAAATTACATTGACACATGTATCTAAGTACATAATGTCGCGATTGAAGTTGATTGTCTAATAAAATAAACCAAGTTAATTTCATCTGGAAATAAACTTAAACACGAAAGTTTTTATTACATACGTTCTTGTCATTCTTCTTCATTTGACAAATCATAACGCTTTGTTTTATTATTATGATCAGGCGCTATGAAATGCTTTGAATATTAAAAAAAAAATTAATATTATTAAGCTTAATAGGTTTATTGACCATATTAATGAAATGTGGAAAAAGAATACATTTTAAATACTGAAATTAGTTGGCTTACTTTTTATGACCAACAATATACCAAAGCTTGGACCGAGCTCAATAATTTTATGAATCGGTTTGTAACTGAATATAAACGAAAATTTTAAATAAATAATTATATATTATTCATAAAATATTTTTATTTCATAAATCGAAAAAAAAAAAATTATATATATATATATACCAAATATTATTTATTATAAAACAAAATTTTTCAGCAATTTCTTTTCTTTTTTGCATTATCCGAATTTTTATACAAATGTTGGCTCTCTTTTCTTTATTTTCTTTAGCTAAGCTAGAAGTAATTGATGTAAAACTCAAGCGATATTTATGTTATTATAGGAGATCATCATATAAGTACGTTAACGATCTCATTGGATGACTGGACAATTAAAAAAAAATTCGTATTATACGTGTAGTCTAGCCACCAGTTATTGTTATTACTGATTTTTATTAACGTAACACAAACGTCTAGTGCTTATTTTCGCGTCACGAGTATAAACTAATAATCAAGACTCAACTCGGTTCAAAACAAGTAAAGGAACAATATATAATTAACATAAGGGGAAATCCTAATTTTAATTATTAAGCACCAAATTGGGATTTCCCCTTTTCTATTACCTCCTATATTAATTCATATATTAATTAATTACACGTTATTCTATAAAAATACTGCGACAAAATACAAAAGTGGAAAAGTCTCAATTCCATTGTAAGTTTTTTGTTTGTATACAAATAATTGATTTAATTAGCTGAATCATCGAGAGTTCATAGACCTCACTAACCAATCGTTTAAAAATTTGAAATTTATTAAGTAAAGCAGATATCAATGATAAAGACTTGAAAAATAGGCTTATTTCTACAAGATTTTTTATTATCGAAGATTTCTTATTCGTGATAATGGTATGAGATAATGATTATTTCTATAATGACATCAAAGAGATTTAAGGCAAACAAAGATCTGACAGTTAAATTATAGTCATAAATTAATTATATTGGGTTTCAATTTCTGTATAGCTTGTTATAAGTATTATATTCATTTTTTATTGTTCTTGTCCGAACGCGACGCATGATTTATGTGCTGCCATGCGTGGATTATTTAAGGTATTAAATTATGCGGGCGATATAATTGATAACTTTTATCCTCAATAGTACCTTATTTTTACCACTCAAGTAGAACATTAATTTAAGATGATGCATATCCAAGATGATGATGATATTTCGATAGTTGAAGTCTCAAATAACAAAATGTTGTATTTATCTACAAAATGAGTGGTATCACGAAAATCGATTCAGAAAAGAGGGGATTTGCACACACCACTGTCATGTCACATAATATTATGTGATATAGTTAAATTTTAGTTATAGCTGGAGGATTCGTTGAGACTTAAGATTAAAGAATGTAATTTTCTTACAACTTATGAGGAAGGATGCGGAACAAATATAGATCAAGCCAATATAGAAGTTAAGAAAATTAGCGCTTATGAGTAAGGAGGTAAGGATTGGTTTAGCAATAAGATCCATGATGGCAAAGGTAAATAAATACTGATGATTAGTTTGATATCAGACGGAAATGTCATTTAATATAAACACGTCTTTTATAATTTTTTTATTTTTATTTTTTTTATAGAAAAAAGAGCCGATGATCTAAAATTCGAGGATTTAGAACTGAACTGGGTAAGATATGAAATGTACACTAGTTCGTAAAGATAAATTTAAAGAGGCTGGATTTACGGTTGGCAAACACAAAGACATAGATTTATTAACAAATAAAGAAAATAATTGAAAATGAAATTACCAAGTTATAATGTTAACAAATGGTAAGTTGCAATATTTAATTCTTTCATTATAACTAATAAATTTGTTTTACTATTCGTTCTCCTTAGTAACCATATACTGTTTAATGTTTTTTGATCTTGATGGACATTCTATTTAAGCGACAAGATTAATTTTTGAACTAAGGAAGGCTTGGGTGTTAACGTGCCTCTTAGAATTGTCTTTGCAGAATGTGGGGATGTCGTTGTTCATAATGATGTTACCTGTATATATGCAATTGCATTATATAAATTTTTTATGTGCTGTTATAGTTCATTGAGTTCATCTTGTCTAGTTCATTCACATCAAAACTTCAATTTTATTCAATTTCTACATAACTTTATATCGACTTAAGTGATTCTATTATTAGAGAGAATTTAAATAGAATTAGAAAAGTTTTGGTAACTACATATATATATATATATCTAAATATACTATAATAAAGATGATATAGATGATAATGATGAAAAAGATAATATAACTACATGACTAATATAACTAATATAAGATTATTATCAAATTCAACTTTTAAAGAATCTCTTAGATTTGTTGACGATAACTTGACCGCAATGTCTACGGTATTTGTCGTATCTTCTTCTTTGTACTCCTATTTATTAAAATAAATTAATAGAATATTAAAAAATTCAAAGGCAGATTAACTACATAAAAGTTTACGTACAA